ATAAAAACAAATACAAGGGGGGAGGGATAGCTCAGTGGTTTGAGCATTGGCCTGCTAAACCCAGGGCTGTGAGTTCAATCCTTGAGGGGGCCACTTAGGGATCTGGGGCAAAATCAGTACTTCGTCCTGCTAGTGAAGGCAGGGGGCTGGACTCGATGACCTTTCAAGGTCCCTTCCAGTTCTTGGAGATAGGATATCTCCATTAATTTATAATTTAAACCAGTGTGCTGCAGCAAATTCATCTAGTGACCAAGAAACTATTGTTGAAATATCTTCCACTTCTTTCAGTACCAGATATTCCAAATATTAGATTTTTTTAAGATTATGGAAGCTAAGAAAAGGATGTGTGTAGGCGTTCTAAAACTTTCCACAGTTCAGGCTTGTAAAACAAACTGAACAAGAACCAAGTGCTCCCCTAAAGCATCAACATTTCTATTCTCAGAATAACAGCATCTCTGAAATAACTGTGAACCAGCAGAACGTGCTGGTAGTGATATGCAAAAGAGCACTTGAAGCTCTCTCTGATTGATTGAGACTTCTTGTATCCATCACTAGAACAGAAGGTAGCTTTGGAAATGGAGCAGGATTTGTGCTATCCAGGTGTGGAACAATGGGCATAAATCTTGGTGTGTTAAAACTCAAACTCATTGCTTTTAAGGCCAGAAGGACAATTATGATAAATTGATAAACTTGTCTGGCCACCTGCATAACATAGGGCATAGAATTTTACTCTGCATCAAGCTCAAAGCTATTTGTTGAGCTAGAGAACTCATAGGGCTGTTCCTTTTAACGGGGTAAAATGCATGTCTCTGGTTGCACAGCTGTCATGGATAACCTTACGGGGTTGCTCTCTGAGCTCTGAGAACAAGCTGGAAGGTTTGGGTGTTCTTGCCTAATTGTTTTTAATTAAACATTGGTGCAACAAGGGTTGTACTTTGACAGGGCAGAACCAACTAGCTTACAAAATGTACAGAACAAACAAGCTCCATCATGTCATCCCATTACAACATTTCTATTCTAGGAAACACCCGTTGACTTGTTTTGATAAATTCAGCTCTAATAGTGCCAAGATGCAAATTAAGGAATATGCTTAATCACTTCTGTATACATGTATAACAGTATTTTGGGCTTTTCATATGTGGGCTTGCAAAGACATCATGCAGCTAGGTAAGCATTATTATCCTCATATAATAGGTGGGGCAACTCAGGCACAAAGAAATGAAAGCCACCATTTCCAAAAATGTCCACTAAAACCAGATACCTGCAACTCCTGCTGGAGTCAGTGGATGCTGCAGGTGCATGTGATGAAAATCCGCATAGGTGTCTCAAGCTGGGCAACCAAAGTTAGTGGACCTGTTAAAATAAACTGGGCCTAGGTGATTTGCCCAAGGACACATGCATTGGTAGCAGAGTTCCTGACTCCCATTTATAAATGCTTATATAATTACAGAAATTATATTAATTTGAAAGTTGCTGTAGGTTTGCGTTGCAGTTAATACAGAAATCCTAAAGTCTTTTGTTAATAGTAACTTTAAAGTGTGGGTGTATTTGATCTCCTTTTGGTATGAAAATTGACAGTTTGGTAGTTTTGTAGCTACATGCTTTAATAGGTGTCACCATTCTGAAATAGTATTCATCACGATAGTATGAAGGAGCAGATGTGTTAATGGCAAGCTCTGCTATTACACTTGTGCCACTTCTTTTGTTAATCTGTCACCTCTCTGCCACAGATCACGTGGGAGCGAAGGATGCTATTCATGCTGGAGAAAGGCAGAGGGTCAGTGTGAACTGATGGGGGCTGTTTACTCTGGGGCCTATTGATATCTTGAGGAAGAGGGGCCTCCCTTGAAGACCTCTAAGAGTATATGTACACTACACACTAAGCCTGGGCTCTGACTCATGTTTGAGCCTAAGTCCCCTTTCCGTCCTCACTCGGTCTGATTCAGGTCAGTAAGTACTCTGGACCTGAATCCCAGGACCCTGCGAGGGGTGTGGGTCAGAGCCTGAGTCCTGCTGTGCCTTGAGTTCAAGCAGAGTCATTTTGTTGTGTGGACGCAGGTCAAGCCTCAGACCTGAATCAGAAGGTCTGTCTAGTACAGTATGGACATGTTAGCACAGGTGTGAGGCTTGTGTCCAGCAATTGTAAATCCAGGGTTAAATACAGTGTGGCTGCTCACGCATAGGCTTGGACATACTGAGTCCACAAGCCTGGGTCCCATAGACCTGGGTTCAGTGTGGACATACCCTAAGACTCATTTTGAACTAAATAACCCTGTGTAATAAATTGGGCATATTCCACATGGTGAGTTCAGCTGCCATACCTAGGCAATTCCATCCCCACCCCCGTAAACAAAGAGAGATACTCTCCCTCTCTGGCACTTATCCTCACCTTCGAGGTGAGGACCTGGGGCTCATCCCTATTAGGGCCTGTTGTAACCTGAGCATTGGTTTATCCCCTCCCATCATTTTCACAGGTGGATATTGTTTGCCGGTCTTCTCTGACAGCAAAGTTGTCTGAGGAATAACATCACCTTATGCTTTACAGGAAAAATGCTCCTGTCTGTATAATCCAAAACATTAGGCTACGTCCCGCCGCCTTTGCTCACAGAGGTTGTTCTGCTCGCTGTGGTTTGAGGGAATACCTCAAACAGGATTTGCCAAGATGTTCTGAATGGATGGAGCAGTGATTGAGGGTGGCAGATCTGGTTTGAGTGTGGTGCCTGCGTGCCTTTTTAATTTTTTTTATTAGCTGATTTCTTGGGTGTGGACGTTACCTTCATATCTTTTGTCATTAGTCTTAACTTTTGGTGAACAATGTACTTTTCCCCAAATCCCCATTTTGGAAGCCTGCAAAGTGCTTGCATTTGTATCTAGTTAATTTTTTTAGCTATATTATGATGGCAAACCTCAGTGTTTGTTTGTTTATTACTTTTTTTAAACAGCGTGTTTAAAAGCTGTTTGGCCAGGGGAGGGAGGTAGTTTTTCAGAGTCCTTCTAGTATTTCCAGATGCTGTTAAGCTTTTCATGGCCTTCTGAACAGTCAAGTACTATCCCAGGCTTGTGGTGGTGGTTTTTGAATAGAGAAGAGTCATTTAATAATATATGGAAATCTGCAAAATAACTGCTTGGAATTGCTAATACCTGACACAGATTAAGTAACACTGAGAGCAGCGTCCTGCTCCCAGTGAAGTCAAATAGCAAAAAGGCTCTGACCTTGAAAGTTATTCATGAACTGACTTCATCTGGAGAAGCTTTAGCAGAAAGGGTCTTTCTGTATGGGTTGGTGAGTTGCCCCCCCAACCCCCAGTTTAATTTTTGTATTTGATTCTTAATAATGTTCCCAGCACACCTGCTCTCTGAGCATGTGTACATAAATTACCAGTCAAACACATTCAGTTGGCTAATGCAAACTAAATCTAAATCCCAGATGTAGATATCAACTAAAATAGCATAATTTTTTCCACTGCTGCTCTAGTTTTGATTGCAATATTGTTGGTTCTCTTATCTGCTAAGAAGAAAATAAATAGATTCTTATCTCTGAGTTTTGGCGCAGCTGTAACCAGCCAGTGTAACTTCCTTTTGCCCTCTGCTGAATAATTCTAAGTACTTTATCTGCTATATCCTAAAGTCTTCCCCTGGTTTAACAACCTCTCTAAGAGCAGCTATAAAAGGGGCTTTCACTAACGAACAGGAAGCAGAATGAATTGCAGGAACTTCTGATAATGCACTGTCTGTCTGAGAGGAAGATCAGCCTGACTAAGCTATACCAGAGTAATGAATGATGGTCCTTCAGCTAGGGCCAGCCGTGCACATTTTAATACTGGGAACAAAGAATTCTCCCTCTTCAACTAACTATTTAAACACCCTTGTCAATTTAGTGGCCCAATACAGTCAATCTCATCTAGCTTATTTGCTTTCTTTTTGCTGTTCATAGTGAATCCTAACAAGCCTCAGACGTTTTTTCTATCTATCTCTATATCTATATCTACACACACATACACCATATCCATTTTGGAAGGGCTAATACAGCCACCAATGCTGCCTTCCTAATGCCTGCTACAGCTCCACTGAGTTTTTAGCATCCAAAAATGTACATGGTTACATGCATGTGATATGTTCCACAGACTGCAAGGTTTCACATACTGAACCGAATGTTGGGCCTTCCTATGTTTCTGTTGGAATTTCACTCTGGGAGTGTCTGGATATTTGTAATGACCGACCGTTTCAATTCCCTCCCCTCCCCTTCCAGGCTGGGCGGCTGTCTGTTTACTCCTTTCTCCACTCTTGAGCACTGCTGGCTTGTAAAAGAAAGACGCCAATGATTAAATAAATTCTGAACTTGGCAGTGACACAGTTTAGCTACCTGCTTTGGGCCTGGTTCTCTATCGTGCCATGCTAGCTTTACGCCAGCGAAATTCCATTGACTTCTGTGGGCTTGCACTGGTACAAAACTTGTGTAATGCAATGGAAGATCAGATCCTTCATTTCTGACACGCCGGCTTTCTGAATAGTGTCCTTTCCACTTCTTCAGGGGTCAGCAACCTCTGGCACGCAGCTCACTAGGGTAAGCACCCTGGCGGGCCGGGCCAGTTTATTTACCTGCTGACGCAGCAGGTTCGGCCGATCGCGGTCCCCACTGGCTGCGGTTCGCCGTTCCAGGCCAGTGGGGCGGCGGGAAGCGGCATGGGGGAGCGATGTGCTGGCCTTGGCTTCCTGCCGCCCCATTGGCCTGGGACGGCGAATCGCAACCAGTGGGGGCCGCGATCGGCCGAACCTGCCACGTCAGCAGGTAAATAAACTGGGCCGGCCTGCCAGGGTTCTTACCCTGGCGAGCCACGTGCCAGAGGTTGCCGACCCCTGCACTACTTGGTCTGCTTCAAACGTATCATAATGGAGTGATCTGGGTTTTTTTAAGATGTTGACCTTTTTGTTTTGTCACTTTTGGGTATGTGAAATTAAAATGGTTTGTTCATTTGTGGCACTTTTTTGTTCTCTTTCAGGTCTCTCTCAGATTTTAATATCAGAAAATTGGTGTCTCTGATGAGAACTTTGTGTAGGTAAGTGAAGCAAGATTATTTTTTGTATTTACAGGTTCAAGTTCCATGTTTTACTTTTATGGTATGTTTTATTGTAACTGGTAAGCTGCCAGCTGGCTGTGCTGGTAAGCTGTGGCTAAATAAGTCTGGAGATGTGTATTAAACATAAGTAGGATAATGCCTGTAGTACGATTTAGGGGAGTGATCTTTTAATTTCTCACTTTTCTGGAAAATGTTCTTTATATAATCAACTAAAAAGGATCCAATTGCAGAATAGCGAGTTTTATATCTTTCAGCTAACCACGATAGCTGTTTACAAAGGGATCACTGATTGGAGATCTGCTAGACTTCTGAGGTGGGAGGGGGTAATGATGGGGATAGGATGGGATAGTGACCTGATTTTCATTGTGAAAGCTCAGCCCTAATTTACCAAGATTTGCGTATTTGGGCCACTTTTTCAGGTGAACCACTTTTCTTCTCCAGGAAGGAATGTTCGGTGTTGAGGACAAATTATCTGAAACTTGACAAGTTTGAATTGTTTTGATCCAAAGTTCAGCAAAGCTCAGCAATTTAGGTTTGAATCTTTGGATTCATTCAAACAAAAAAAATAAAATTCCAGTGTATCCTCTGACAACGCAAACTGCTGTATTTCACATCATATCCCTGTTGAACAATGAAGACGCTGTCCCTGTTCTTGTTTTTTATGGGTGCTCGTGGTTGATTTCAATCGGAATTCAGGGTTACAGCTGTCTAGTTTTTCTAATTTTTTGGGCAAATTCTGTTTTCCTGCTATTAAGTGACAAAGGCTTATTAACATGAGCCAAACATGGCGGTCCATTACTGCAATGCCCACTGTATAGGCAGGAGGGCTTTCAGTACACAGCTCTGCCAATGTACCTCAGGACTGACCTGCAACACACTGTACGTTTCTGGTCTTTATGATGAAGAGAGTGTCAGGCTGCCAAACATGCAGGGTGCCTTGTTGCTCCAGGGTCTCACTTAGGATGCAAGAGGGGCTGTTTTTAAATCTTAGACAAGCGCTTGCAGAGATTGGAAAAAATTGCATAAGTTTTGAAAAAAATGCATAAGTTCTGCATATTCATGTCTTTAGGTGCTCAGATATTGCAGTGGTGAGTGCTACATAAATACCTAGATAGACCCATGACTTTTCTTTTTTTCCCTTTAAAGTGGCTGAGAGGTTTTTCTCTCACCATCCTTGCTTCTGCAGCCACCATCTTTGGTCCTCTCTAAGGACTTCTTTGTGTTCCCCATTGGTTTGCTGAGTCTTTTCCTCCAAGGCCCCTCTGACTCTTGAGGCCATGGACTTGGGGAGAGTCAGGTGGACCCAAGTGTAGAACAAACCACTACTGTGCTCCAGTCTGCTGCCTCCCCAGCTCTATTTTCCTCTGCAGAGAATAATGCCTGGGGAGTGGGTCTAGTGACTCCTCACATATGTGGTCTTAAAAATCAAACCAGACAAGACTCGAGGGCAGGGGTGAAAGTAACTTAAAGGACTTACCGGTATGCCGGAGTCCTGAGTGGGGGAGTGGCCTCAACTGGAAGAGGCGGAGCCTTTCATGATGTAAAGGCCCCAGGGCTCTGGCTGTGGCTGGGAGCCCCAGAGCCTTTAAATCACCCCGGAGCTACCAGGCTGCCGGAGCGCCTGCAGTGATTTAAAGAGCCCTGGGCTCCCCACAGTGGCTGGAGCCCTGTGCCCTTTAAATCACCGATGGAGGAGACGGTCCAGTCCGGCACGGCGCACCGGCTCTTGCTGGTACGCCATATCCGACTGTGCTGGCTTAATTTCATCTCTGCTCTAGGCAAAGTTACGGGGTTTCCTGACTTTCTGCAAAGAGGTCCCTCTTAGCTCATTCTCCCTGTCCACCTCTCTCTTTCCAAGGTGCTGACTCAAATTGTTCCATGCACAGTGTGGTTCTTATCTTACCCAGAAACCTGCATACAGGCTAGAAGACTGCCTCAAAGAGTTGTGGTTCTCTCATCCCAAAGTGAACTCAGTAGCAGCCTCCTTCTATACTCTGATTCCTCTCTAGAGGACCTGATAGGCCACAGGGCAGAGGAGTTCTCTAAGAACCACCCTTAGGCTTGGATACATTAGCATCCTCTGCATCTTACTCATCTAGAACAGCTGTCTTGACAGAGACCTGTAAATGGAAGTTTCCAAAACCGGTCCACAGGAGTCTCTCCAGATACCTCCTGGCTATGAACAGCCTGAATGATAGCCTAAATGAGCCCTGTGTCCTATGTGCTGGTATTCTGGATCCTTTGTTCTAGCTTGTTGAGTCCTCTGAATTCATTGTGGGCGTGGGAGGTGCCAGGTGCAGGGAATGTCATTAAAACACTGACCCCTAGTACTTTAGAGCACCCCGGCAGCTTTGGAAATATCCTTAACTCTATTTTCCAGGAGATCTGGAAGAAAAGACATCCCCCCCCCCTTCCATAGGCTCGCTTGTGAAAAAGCCAGTCTGCTTGTTTGCTGTAATCTTCCTCCCCTAGGAGCAATCCCAGCTTCTCCTTCCAGTCAAGTACAGCCCTAAGTAGCAGGAATATAGAAGGAACCAAGTTCCGACCTCAGCTCTTATGGCTGACAAACTCCAAGCCCAAGCTTTACCCTTAGACAGAGTAAGAGAGGATGTAACCAGTTCTGACTATTTCCTTCCTAGGAGGGAAGATTCCTGTTTCATACAGCGTGTGCTAGTGCTGTGCTATCACTCCGTGGTAGTTCCAAATTGGGATGTCAGATAACAAAATGCTCATGTAGACACAGCTAGAGAGAAGAGCGACACCTACGGAGCCATTGCAACACATCTGCAGTGTACTACTGGGTTTTCCTTTGTGCTCTCATCTGAGTTATTGACCTGTCCTGGCTCTGCTTAGTTCCTGAGCTCTGACTAAATCACAGCCCTCAGGCTGTATTGACGTTTTAGTGCGTCCAGAGGGAAAAAACACCACGCGAATTAATAAAGGAAGATTGCATAAAGTGCCCAGGCAGCCATTCTAAATGTAGTGGGGAAGCAGAGCCTTGTAGCTACGTATATTAGACAGCAAGTCAAATCTATGAATATATGCAGGCCTGGTTAATAAATAACCCAGACACTGGTAGTTAAGAGGGAAAGACATGACAGATTTAATTATCTGCTCTGCCTTTAAGTTGGATCCAGAGCGGTAATGCTTTACACTAGAAAGGTAAACACTGTCATTATTCAACAATGAAACACACACAAGGCTGACATTGTTTTTTTTCCCTCCTTTGATTTAATAATTATTTGTAACAGGTTTAATGGACTATTAGATTGTCTCTGTTTTTGTACAGTGGAACCCTGATAAAGCCCTACCCTTTATGAAGGGCCATTACTCCTTTCTTTTAATTCACATTTTTCATGGTGCTTTGCTGAAGGTCCTTGTTTTAAATTTGCTATGGTTGTTGTATGCTTAGTTCCTCTCCCAGGGTGTGGTTTAGCCCAAGACTATTCAAGAATGTTTCTGCTCATCAGATTACCCATGTTAAACCCTCCTTTACTGAGTTCTCCCATGTCAAACAGACAAGCCTATAGAATGGAAGAGGATTTTCCCTCTGTGGACCTTCTATTCTCTTGTATGTTTTCTCTCTCCTAAACTAAAAATTTTCAGGCTGCCTAATACAGACGCCCTGGGCTAACTCCCAGCTTTAAGGTGCAGGCTGAAGGATGAGGATGGACATTCTTGTCTTGTTGCATTGTACTTTAAGAGTCTGCAGCAGGCTCTTCGTGGGTTTCTGGGTACCTCTAGGGCAGGTCTCCTCTCTCCCAAACCTACTGTGCTGGTGGCCCACATGTTTTGAGCTTCCTTGGACTCTGGAGGTTGTTTTTCAGGTGTCTCAAGACTGCTATTTAGGGTTGTTTAGCTTGCAAGTTTCTCTGGAGAAGCAGACCGTTCTCTTTCATTCTATACCGTACCCTGTTAAATAAAATATGGAGTTCCTAGGTTAACACTCATTGGCCTTGTGTACGATGGCATAGTAGGATCCATCTGTACAATCCGTGGTGCTGCAGCATTGTGACTGGTTGTGTATTAGGAGTCCTGTTTTTTTGCCATTATAGTTGTAGCCTCAGGTTGGTGCCAGGATGGTCCTTAGTTGAGACTTCTTCTCTGTTCCCTTTGGAAAGGCCTGAGTCTGGCAAGCTTAAATGCTCATCGTAAAATCTTTGGGTTATACAGGTTGGCTGGGGTGATTTTTGGGTTATCACTTAATGTAATAAAACATTCAGAAATGGGAGGGATAACTCTTGTTAATGGGCCTCGCTGTCACGGCGATAGGCATTACATCAACGAATACATGCATTTTAGAGTATATGTTGGGGGAACCTTGAGTGCTCCTTCCTGTTGAGTTCCCTTCTGACTCTTGCAGCTCTTGCTCTTCCACTGGGAGTTGTCGTCAAAATCGTTTAAGGGGCCACCAATGAAATGTCTGCTCTGGCTTAGCAGCTGCTTCCCAAAGGAGGCAGTGGAAGAATTCCCTCATTCCTCTTCGTATGTATTTTCTTTGGAAGACCAATAGCTCTGTGCTTTGTCTTTAGCTGTCCGTGCACCTCCTCAGCTAAGTCCTAAGCAGTTAACTACTCTAATACGCTATCTACACTATTTTAAAGGCATTCACTTGAAATCTTCCTGGCCATGCACCTGTGGCATGGACAGGAATAAATAATTTCTAGACCTCCTCCTTACTATTCTCTTCTCGTAATTGCAAAGGTTTTAGAAACGCTCTACTGGTTACTCAAAGAAAAACTAAAATTGAATGGAGTCTCTCCTTACCACGGATCCAACAGAGACTGGATGTGTCTTGGAAAAGGCATAGTAGAAAATTATATGTTTGCCCTTAATGCAGGGTAGGATGCCTGTTGGCCAAAGGTTCTATTGTTTTATGGTTAACACGTTGTTGTGTTATTGCAGCCGGTGATCTTTTTATTTTGCTGAGGCAGATGGAGGGTTTCCAAGTCCCATAAGCATAATCATGGGAAAGCTTA